GACTTCCTGAGGCCGGCGAGCCAGAACTGGCGCCGGTGGCTTTCCTGCCACGCCCTGGCAGTCCTGCGGATCGCTGGCGCGGCGAATTGGCGAGCGTGCTTCAGAGGGCCGGCGGCGCCGCCAAGCAGGACCTCCATGGCGCGGACGGCATCGCAGCAAGTCTGCAGCGCGACGGCGCGACTTCCTTCAGTGATTTTGGCTCGTTGGACGCTAGCGAGGCGCAAGAGGTTTGGCCTGCTCCGGGCCAGCTGGACGTTGCCATCGTCAAGGTTTTTCTGCTGTTCTGTGGCCGAGCGGATATGGGGGGCGCAGCAGCCGGCGGTGCAAGAATCGCAGACGGACCGCCAGGCTCACAGCCGTGAGCGTTCACTGGCGGGTCCGGCTGCACCAGCCTTGGCGTCAGCCGAAGAAATGGCGCAAGCGCTCGCAGCAGTGCGACTGGTAGTGGCTGCAAGGCAATCGGGCTGTGTCCCCCCGCCACTGGTACTGGCACACGCCATACGCGTGCTCCACAAAGTGCCAGAGCCGCCCGTGGACATGCCTGGCCAGGCGCCAACAGCAGAAGCTCGCGAAGCTCAACGAAGCCCTGTTCCCGCCGCCGTCTTCGCGGAGCGGGCATGCTGGATTGAGTTTCAAGGCTGGCGAAAAAGTGCCTTGGGTTATGCGTTTGCTGTGGTCTTGTGGGGACAGGCAGCGGCTACGGTGCACGTGAAGCCATGGCCGCCTCAGGAGTGCATCTTGGATTGCTTCGTGTCTCTCTTTCGGAGTGGCGCTTCGTTAGCGCAGTATGTGTCTCGCATTCGAACAGTGTTGGCTTGGTTGAAAAGTTCACCAGGGCCTTTTGCGGGCACTTCCCGCTTGATTCGGGGCGCTGAGAAGGCCACGGATCCGGCGACTCGCCGTGTGAAGTTGAGGGCTTCGCCGGGAGGGAGACACGCGCGCCCTGGCAAAGTGGGCTTCCGAGACGGCATCCAGGCCGGACGTAGCTCGGTCGTGGGTTGTGTCGCGCCACTTCGCCTTGCGCTATAGTGAAACTTTGGTTATTGGTACGAGCCTGGCCCCACTAAGAATCAAGGGGGCCAAGGGCAAGAAGCAGGTGATCGCAACACTTCTGCGGCGGAAATGTCGCAAGGAGCCAGTTGAAGTGGTCAGGGGCTGCACATGTGGAACGCAGGGGCCGTCTTTGTGCGGCGCGTGCGCCGTAGTGCCTGCTGTCGTGGCCAAAGAGCCACCGTTTCAACGCATATCTTATTCCGAATCGTTGGCTTTCTTAAAACTCGCAGCGTCTGCGTGCAATCTGAGGTCCCCGCAGGCGTGGGGCACGCATGCTTTCAGGCGTGGCTGGGCTTCGGATGCTCTCAAAGCAGGAGGTCCGACTGCACTCTTCTACAGTGGAGGCTGGCGTGGGCTGGCTGCCTTTGCGTATGCCAGTGCCCGGGCACGTGGGGCCCTGCAGGCAGCTGAATTCTTGGTCGAGCCTTCGAGCTCGTCAGGCGGCGAGTGAACTTTCTTGGTGCATTGGGCCTGGCTGTGGTTCCAAAAAGATTCTCTCTTGCTTTCACGGGCAACGCGTAGTCAGCTTCCGCCTGGGAGTTCGGGGTGCAACGGGGATTTGGAATCGTCCCAGAGTCTCCCAGTCAGGCAGCGGGGTCTGTCGCGTCCCACTGCTCCCGCGGAGGTCGTCGGTAGTGTTTTTTTCCGCGCGAACACGCGAAGCGTTTTCAGCGCGAGAAAACAACGAGCGGCCGGAGTTGTAAATGTATTCCTCCGCTTCTTTGCTCACTCGCTTTATCCCAAAGTGGGTGCTCCTGGTGGAGCTGGTGGTGCCTGGCGGCGCTTTCCGTCGGCGGTGTTGCTTCTCACGCGCCTGGGGGCCTCGGTGAAGTCGCGGTTGTCCGTCGGTCTCTCTGGGCTGTTGGTCTGTCTGTCTGTCGTCTGCCTGTCGTCGTTGTCGTCGTCGTCGTTTTTGCCCTTGGGGCGGTGGCGCCGCAGTCCCCTTTCGGGGGTTAGGTGGCCGTGTGCTCGCGGCCACGGTGCCCGCGGCGTTGGTCGCAGGCGGCGCGCTCCCTTAGTGGGCCGCTGAGAGCGGCTTCTTGGTACCAGCTGCTCGGTGTTCGGTTTTTCCCGCCCGCCCGCCCTGGTGGTGGGGGTTCGGTTTTCGGCGATCGCCTGACTGGGGATTTGGAATCGTCCCAGAGTCTCCCAGTCAGGCAGCGGGGTCTGTCGCGTCCCACTGCTCCCGCGGAGGTCGTCGGTAGTGTTTTCTCCGTTTCGTGCGTGGTTTTTTCGCCAAATCATCAAGGCTGATCCTCGATGGTCGTCGCCGAAGGAAAAATGCACACGTCCGAGCGACGCCAAGGTTCCATGGGAGCCTGCGTGGCCCCCAGCACTGTCCAATGTGGGCCTGATTTGGACCGGATTTGGAGCACCTTTGGACTGGATCTGGACCAGACTTGGGCTGGATCCGTGGGGGCTAGGAGAACGAGGAGGGGGAGGGGGAACGGGAGGGGAGAGGAGGAGCAGGAGGATGGGCCGAATGTGGCCCCCACGCTGTCCACATGCAGGAAGAGCTAACTTCAATGTCGCCGCCCAAGGCTCCCATGAACAGACATCGAACGTCCAGCCTAACAACTTTCGGGCCGGGCGAAAGGGGGGGATAGCAAAGGGGGTTGAGAATCAGCTCGCGCAGCTGATTTTCCCAGCGCCTCCCGGCGCCGGGAGGCGGCCATGTATCGAGGAATGGGCCCTTCGGTGGGGCCGAAACCAGCCGCATGCAGCAGATTTCGTACACCCCCCCTTCCCAATCCCCCCACTGTCGTCCGGCCCGAAACCCCCCAGAAAACTCTGGGTGGGGCGTGTCCCCCTGCAGGCGGGCCTTGCAGAATCTCGAGACACGGCCACAGATACTCCAAGGTGGGCACGCCTGGTCGCAAAATGGTCCCCCAGCAATTTTTTCTCGGGTATTTTTGAAGGTTTCTCCTGTAGAGAGACAGGCCCTCAGTGGGCCCTGGAATCGACAGGGCCGTCTTTTTACCGGTTCCGTTTTGCTGTTTTTTGCCAGTTCCGACGCCGTTTTTTGTTACAGGTTCCGTCGCCGTTCCTTTACGTGTTCCCGCTCCGGTTCCAATCCTGGAGCCGTTTCTGTTGCCGTCTCCGGTCGCCTTTTTTGTTGCCGCTTCCACTTTCAAGGGGCACTGCTTCGGAAACGGTGAAACAACGGCCCTGCCGTTTCGGGGGCCCACTAAGCCCTGGACCCCATGATCCCGAACACCGATCATCCTGATAGGATCCAAATGGAAATGCGAATGTGGGGGGGGATTGGCTGAGCGGGAGATCTCGCAAACATGGATTCCTTCGTGCACCAAGGACAGGCCCGCCAAAGATGGTCGGGAGCGGCCAAGAGGGGGGTGTCCAAGAGGGGGGGGGTGCAAATCATGACCGGCGGCATGTGCGCCGCCCAGCGGGGGGGCCAGGGACGTGATGAAACAAGAAGAGGCGCCATGAAATCTGCGGAAATATCATGACCCCCGCCATGATTTTTTTTTCTCCTGCGCGAAGACCGCCCGATCCGCTTCCCCTCGAGGGGGCTATTCCCAGCGCAACTCCACCGACCAGTGACGACTGCAAGGCACTGAAAGCAAAAATCCTGCAATGGCCCCGGGCTCGGGGGAGGAGCATCATGACCCCCGCCATGATATCCCCCCCCCCCCCTAGCCATCACCCCCCGCATTGCCGCCCCCGAGATGGAGGGCGGTGCTCCCTCGAGGCCGGGGCGGCGCGCCGCGCCGGCAGGCCCACGTAGCCGACCCCCTCTCTCCCGGCGAGCTTTGCAGGGGGGGGGGGGGGGGGCAGCTCCCCGCAGGAGAGGGAGGGCGCCCGCCTGCCGCGGGCTCCTCGCGGGGAGGAGGAGGAGGAGGAGGCGGAGGAGGAGAGGAGGAGAGAGGAGGAGGAGGACGAGGAGGAGAGGAGGAGGAGGAGGAGGAGGAGGAGGAGGAGGGGGAGGAGGAGGAGGGAGTGGAGGAGGGGGAGGAGGAGGAGGAGGAGGGGCTCCCTCATGCTCGGGGCGGGGGGACCTATGGGACCTGCAGGCGGGGAGGAGGCCTACATTAGGGCCCGGGCGGGGAGGAGGCCTCCGGGACCCGGCGCGGGGAGGGAGCCTGCCTGGGACGGGAGGGGGCGCGCTGCGAGGGCGTGAGGGCGCTCTGGGCCTGCTCTGGTGCTCCTCCTCGGCCCTCCCTCCCCTCCCTCCCTCCCCTCCCTCCCCTCCCTCCCTCCCTCCCAATCCCCCGCGCCCCGTTTTTTGGGCACCCTCTCCTCTTCGCCAACCCCGTCGACCTGCCCACCCGTCCTCCTGCGCCTCCCCCATCCTGCTCATCCTCTTGCCGCCGCTTTTGCGCGGTGAGCGGACATTAGCTGTACAGCTGTAACGTCCATGAACTTTCTTGCCGCCCCTCCTCCTCCTCCTCCTCCTCCTCCTCCTCCTCCTCCTCTCCTCCTCCTCCTCCTCTCCTCCTCCTCCTCCTCCTCCTCCTCCTCCTCCTCCTCCTCCTCCTCCTCCTCCTCCTCCTCCTCCTCCTCCTCCTCCTCCTCCTCCTCCTCCGCATCATCCCCCACCTCGTTCCCCTCCTCCCCTTCCCCCCCTTCCTCGCGGTTCACCTCTTCCCCCCCCCCCCCACTCCTTCCAATGCCTCCCCCTCCTCGCTCCCTTCCTCCCCCCCGTTCCTCCTCGTCCTCGCGTGGGCCCGCTGACGCTCCAGCCCCCCCTCCGGCCAGACCGTCTGCCGGCCAGCGCGCGGCCGCCTCCGCAGGCGTCGCTGGCGCCCTTGGAGAGCTGCGGGCCGCGTCTTTGCTCCCGGCACTGTGCCTCCGCCCTCCTCCTCCTCCTCCTCCTCCTCCTCCTCCTCCTCCTCCTCCTCCTTTTCCTCCTCCTCCTCCTCCTCCTCCTTTTCCTCCTCCTCCCCCGTCCTCTTTCTCCTCCTCCTCCTCCTCCTCCTTAAGTTCCCCACTTTTGATGCTCACATGAGGGGCATGGCTCGCTGGTGCGAATGCTGCCTCCCTTAGCCGCTGAGCTGCCAGAAGTAGCCCCGCTCTGAATCTCGTTTTCGTCTTACCATCAAATTCTCAGCGCCATCACGGCTTCAAGCTCCAGTCCCAGCGCGTGCACTGAGGGCCACGCTGCTCGAATTCACGGCCCGACTCGAACACACGGGCCGCCTGGGTTGCCTGGGCGCTCGGCGCTTGTGCCCGAGCGCGCCCTAGTCTGGCCCCCCGGAGCTGGAGGGGCGCCTGCTTTTGATGGGGCGGGCCGGCCGATCACTGCGAAAAAGCCCCGACGCGGGATCCGCGGGACTGCCACGACCTCAGACTCCAGCAGACGCGCGGGGCCTGGCTTCGGGCGGAAGCGGCCGTTCCCCCCCCCCCCCGACCACCTACCAGACCACCCCAACCCAACCCGACGACCCGAATTTCGGGTTGGGGGGGGGGCAAGGGTTCCATATGTGTTTTGTTCGATGGTTCCCGACCCGTTCCCGATCCCCCCCCCCCAACTGGAAATCGAGGGTAAATCTGATTCTTCGGGTTGGGTTGGGGTGGTTTGGTGGGTGGTGACCCCCGTCCTGGGGCCTCCAGCCACCGCGTGGCAGCTCATGCCGCCGTGGCGCGGGCGGGACATGCGGGCTCACTGCTTTGCACCTATGGGCGAAGGCTTCTGCAGCTCCACGTCCCCCTCCTTGGACGGCAGCTGGGCGTGGCCGTGCTTCTCGCCCTTTTCGCCTGACACGTACCCCAAGTAGCTTTTGTAGAACAGCGCGCCGAACACCTGCATCAGGCCGAAAAGCTGCATCGTGCTGATGGGATGCGAATACATGATATAAGATACAAGGATGGAAATTACCTGCCGCAGGTTCATGGTGGCCGCGAAGACTAGGGCACCAAACTCCTTCACCTGCGAGAGAATGAAGAACTGCCCTGCCACAGCTGCCGCGCTCAGCCCCATCGCGTGGCCGACGAAGGTGGGGTGGTTGGAGCAGAAGGCCAGCGCCGTACCGGCCTGGTTGAACACGATTAGGGAGCTGAAGGACACCGCGGCGGAGCCACAGTTGGTGTAGAGCATCTGGTTATACTTGGAAGTCTTGTGCTCCTTGAAGAGCTTCTCCTGAAAAGTGGAGGTGAACCCGTCGAAAGCCAAGAAGCAGAGCAACAACAGCAAGCCATATGCGCTGCTGTCCTTGCCAGCATGCTTGGAACTAATTTCCCCTGTGAGCAAGAACTGGGTGACCCCCCAGGTGACGCCCAAAGCGATACCCCAATCCACAGCCTTGTAGGTCTTCCCAGAAATCACAATGGACCAAACCATGACTGGCATCATCTTAAAGCTCTTGCCCAACATCTGCACTGGGAACGACACATGTCTCAAAGCCTCATACTGACACCATGTCGCGCATACGTTGGAGAAAGACACCGCAATGTACTTCCACAGTGGTGCCTTGTTGGCGCAGTCCTCGCCGTAATACAGCACCATGCCGCAGGCGTAGACGATGCCGACGAGACGATTGCAGAGCACCAGGAAGACCGACACGGTGAACATTTCGTTGTTGTATGGCTCGGACATGATGCGCTCCTGTATCACACCGTAGACGCCGAGCATCCCGATGATCCCCAAGCCGTACACGGCACACATCGCTGCACGGGCATATCGGGCGTCATCCAGCGCCGTGTCGCCGCTCGCCTTCATGGCAGGCCAAAGGGGGGGAGGCCCACACCCGCTCTGGCGCAGGAGCCCCGAGCTTCCCCTGAGCCAGTGTGCCTATGGACCCTGCTCCGGACATCATTGTAGCAAAATGCTGAAGTGGCCAAAGGGCCATCTTAGCAAAATTAGGCCAACATTGCGAAGGTGCGCACTGGGTGGTTCGCCAGTCCAGCGTGCGCAAGGCCGGTTAGAATCTCCGGCAAGGGGTGCCGACCTATGCATCTTACGAGCTCGGGTGAAAGTACCCGCCCAGCACTCCGCCCATCCCCCCTTGAGATGCTGGAGCTCCCAGGCATTGCTTCGCGAACAGCACAAGAGGCCGCCGACTTCTCCGATGTGGCGTGGAGGACGCGTCCCACTCGGCCACCGCGCTACTTCTGAACTGTCAGATCGTCAACCAGTATCATTCATACAAGCTCAAGGCCGCCACAAAACGGCTCCCAATCAGTGGCCACGGAGCCTCCCAGGCATGACGCCCCCACCCCCCCACGGCAAACACGGTTCACAAGCCAAGCAGGCCTTGCAATCATTGCTGCTGCCTGGCTTTTTCGCGTCCGGTCGGCTTCGGAGGCCGCCAGATTACCCCGATATCGCCCAACACAGCTCCAAGAAGAGCCCAGAAGGGCTTCCACACGGGCGCGAAGATCCATAAGGGCGCCCCAGGAGCGGCCCAATTGAGCTCCACGATGGGCTTCACGATGGACCCAAGAGGACCCACGACTGGCACCACCTTTGGCCGTCTGGGGGCCCTCCTGGCGCAATCTTGGGCATTCTTGGACGCCCCATGAGGGCCCTCGGAGACCCTTTGCGGGCCCAAGTGCCTCTGCTTCCTTTTTTCGCTCCGTCTTCCAATGTCTTCATCCACCGTTCTGGACGCCTCCCGAAACCTTCTTCAGCCGTTCCGTGGCATCCTGGGGCCCTCTGGGGCCGGTTTTGGCGGTTGTCGGGGCCCTCTCAGGCCGCCTTTGAATCTTTTCACGCCCTCTGCTACGTTCGGCGGCGGGCGAAGGGGGAAGTGAGAAGGAGAAGGCCTTCTCAAAGGCTCGGAAGTTCCCCGGCCTTCTGAGAAGTTTCCCGAGCCTTCCCCGAAGACACAAAACACTTCTCAGAAGGCGCGAGGGCTTCTGAGAAGTCCCGCCGCCTTCCGAGAAGGCCTTCTCCCTCTCACTTCCCCCCCTCGCTCCCCGCCGATGCCTGCGCTGCCCCTCGCCATCGCTCGGACGTCCATTCTCCGGGCATCTTTCGATCTCGTGCGTGTTCTTGTGGCTCGATGATCCAGGGTGCTCCTCGATGGCCCCCGCCGGAGAGAAAACATGCCCCCGCCCGAGCGGTGCCGGGGCCCGCGTCTGCCCTCGCCGCGCCTCCCAAGAGCCCTGCCCGCGGTCTTGACGCCTCGACGCTGTGCCATCAGCCCCCTCCTCCTCCTCCTCCTCCTCCCCCTCCTCCTCCTCCTCCTCCTCCTCCTCCTCCTCCTCCTCCTCCTCCTCCTCCTCCTCCTCCTCCTCCTCCTCCTCCTCCTCTTGACGACCACCTGCCCCCCCCCCCCCCCCAACAAAAAAACGTGGGGCGGCGACGCGGCCCCCCCCCGCGGGCATGCCGCTGGACGCGCTCGCGGGCGCCCCCCCCGCGGGCCACAGAGCCGTGCCGGACGACCGCCCGCCCGCGTGCCGGACTGCCCGCTGCTCGTCGGCGCGTGCCTCCCGCAGGGAGACATCCGCCCCCGCACGTCCGTCCTCCTGGGGCTCGTGGCTCTACGAGGGGTCTGCGCCCTCGGGGCCCCGAGCCGCGGTGGAAAGCCGTGGGGCCGCGCTCCCGGGGGGCCACGAGCCCGAGCGACCATCTGCTGATGCGGCTCCCGAGGCCCAGGACTCGCTCGAGGCGGCACATGGCCCTCTGGCTTGCAGAACGCCCCCCCCCCCCCCCCGAACACCCTCAACGCTTGCTCCAAGAGAGCCCGAGAGGGCCAGCACTGGCTCTGCGGTAGCCCCAAGATGCCCCGCGTGTGGGTGGCCCTCGTGTGGCCCCAGTGTTTTCCCAAGATTAGAGGAAAAAGAACTATGCACATGCACCGACTCTGGCCAGGCCAGACCCTGAGCCCAGGATCGGTGCATACGCCCTCCTACCTTGGCCAGGAAGGCATATGCACCGATCCTGGGTCAGGGATGAGCCTTGCCAGGATCGGTGCATGTGCATAGTTCTCTTCGCCCGAAAGATGGGCCCCCGAGGGGGTCCAGAGCCCTCCCACACGGCCCGAGGGGCCCGGGCAGCCGGCCTCCCACGTCGCCCCCGGGCCGCTCCCAGAGTGCCACGGCCTCCTCCGGGACGCCCCCCTCCCTCCAGGACGCAGGGAGAAGCCCGAGAACGCCCAAGAGAGCCCCCAGGATTGGGCGTGGCTTGATGGGGGGGTCATCAATGGGGGGGTCAGAAACGGTCCCCTTTCGTGCCCCTTTCGGGCCCCTCTGGACCCCCAGGGGGCTCGTTTAGGTACCGTTTGGGTACCTTTTCGGACCACCCTCACCAACCCCCCATTTATGACCCCCCCATTACGCAACGCCCAACAGGAGGCCCCCCACACTGTCCCGGGAGCGTCCCCGAGGCCCTCCCGCAGACCATGGCGGATCTGCCTGCTCGGTCGCCCGCTCTGGGGGCTCCAGGCGTGGCTCCTGCTCCGCGGGCTCTGTGGACAAGGGCCCCCCTGCAGTCCAACGCTTGGTGCCAAGCTTGAGCCCGCGCGGTTCACGCAGCATTGGTAACAAGATGCTCGATGCCATCGGTACGTCGGCACCGGCATGCGGTGCAGGCCTCTTGTGAGGCACTGCCCCCCCTCCAAAGGCAGCCGCCCTCCTCTTCCTTTTCAGCCCCCCTCCTCCTCCTCCTCCTCCTCCTCCTCCCTCCTCCTCCTCCCTCCTCCTCCTCCTCCTCCTCCTCCTCCTCCTCCTCCTCCCTCCTCCTCATCCTCCTCCTCCTTCTCCTCCTCCCCTTCTCCTCCTCCTCCTGTCTCCTCTCCTTCATCTCAGCCCCCTACTTCACCTCACTCCCTCCGCCCACCACGTCCTCTTCCTCCTCCTCCTTCCTCCTCCTCCTCCTCCTCCTTCTCTTCCTCCTCCTCCTCCTCCTCCTCCTCCTCTTCCTCCTCCTCCTCCTCCTCCTGTTTGCTCCCTCCTCCCAAAACTCCTGCTCCCCTTCCTGATCTGCCCTGCTACTCCCTATCCTCTTCGTCTGCCTTCCTGTTCGGCCCCCCGCCCCACCCCACCAGCCTCTTCGTGGAATCTCAGGCGAAGCAAAATCTGGGTAGGTGCAGACACGCAGCTGAACAAAAAGGGAACTATATTGGCTACGGCTTGTCGCCGGGGCCCTCGAGTTTAAGGTTTGCGACGCCCCAGGACCCTAAAAGTGGCCCATTATGGCCCCAGTCCAACCTGAAACACACAATCCCAAGAGAATGCCCAAAGGGCCCCACGGTACGAACTGTCCGGCATCAGTGCGGATAGCTTGCCTCTGACATGACCCAAAATGCCCCCATGAGGCCTGTAGGGCTCCCAAGTTGGCCCCGACATGCTCTCCGGAGGTCCCCGGGAAGGTCAACTATAGACCCATGCTTGGCCACGTTTGGATCGCATATAACATAATCATTGACCCAATCTGAGCTGAACGAAACGAAGCGAAACTCAGACGTGTTGCGCTGGTCCCGGCGAGCCCGAGCGAAAATCGCAACGACAAAACCTAAATCGAGCACACCCGAATTGGGCAGAGCTGGTGCTAGACCACCTGCGCATCATTGACGGCCTGCTTGCCCGGATCCGACTACTTTGAACCAGCTCGTGTTCCCGGGTCACCTAACTTCGCGCCGCGCATCGCGCCCCGCGATGCGCGAGTATCTTCGGTCGCGCCGCCCCTGGAGGCCCCTGGAGAGGGGCAGCCCCGTGGACCTGGCCGCGACGCGCGAAGCGCGATTGTCTTCGCGCCCCTGGGAGCGACCTTGGTGCTCTCAAGTTTTCGCTCGAATGCGCTTTACCATGTCCCTTCTCACGTCGCCTCGCCGCGGGGCCGTTTCTGATGGGCTAGTGGATTACGACAGACGCCAACCGTCAGTTGCAACGTCTGCGTTGTTGGGGCATGGCACCCAGCGGCATGCCGCCACCTCCCCAAGAGGGGTCCCTCAAGGCCCCGCGACGGGCCCACAGCGGGCCCCAAGACCAGCTCAATACAACCCGAGACGGCTGAAGAATTGCTTGCGACGACCCGGCGACCTCCAGGCGCCCACGGGCATCCCCAGCTGCTGCCCCAGTGCATGACGGCAGTCGACCTCCGCCAGAAAGTCCCCAAGGTCAGAGCACCTAGAGCCATCCAGTCGCGGGCTACTGACTTCGGCCTGCCAAACTGGATGGCTCATGATTGCTCCTGGCAGGGGTGGGCCTCGTGAAGGCTGCCAGGCCGCTTCCAAACGACCCAGCATGTGCCATGGAGGGCCCAAGAGGGCCTCAACATTGCACATGACCCTTGTAAGATCGCCCAAAGTGGGCCTACAGCCGCTTTCCTACTCCAGCTTTACATTTACAAATCCATGTTGCAGATGATGGACAAGGCCGTGTTGTCGTCGAGGAGCCTCGGCCAACGTGGAGGCCCGCATGAATCATGAGAAAGTCCTGGCTCGCGTTGAAGCCACGTTGGCGCCTTCGCAACAGGGGCCTGGACATCCCTGTGTCGTGAGTCCCGCAAAGTCCTCGAAGTGTCCTGGCCCGCCTGGATGTCGCGCTGAAGCGCCCGAGAGCCCGCTTCGCCCAGCCTGACGCAGGCGCCGTCCCTGCGAGCAAGGGCGGCGCAATGTCAGCAGCTTGCGCTTGAGCCGAAGCTCACGGCAATGAGACAACAGTACTGCAGGTCCGTGCCGTGTCGACCCTGGCGTTGGTTCCTGACACCGCGCTGGATCGTTCAACCTTGAACGATCGGCCGTCTCCGCAACGTCCGATCGTTCAACATCGACCGATTCTGGGCCGCCGTCGGCGTTCAACGTTGAACGTCGGCGGCGGGGTCGCCGCCGGTCGACACGACGCGAACCTACCGTAGGGGAACAAAAGGTGACATAAACATAAAAACTCGGAGGTCCGCGCGGATTCCTCGGATCGGCGCTGGGACCCCCCTCCCTGGCGCGGGAAGCCTCGGCGCCGGAGGCGCCGCGGGGGGGGCCCAGCGCCGATCCGAGAAATCCGCGCGGACCTCCGAGTTTTTATGTTTATGTCACTTTTTGTTCCCCTAAAC